CTGGTGCTCCACACTTTGGATCGCCAGGGTGAATATGTGGCGCGCACAGATTTCCTGTGGAAGGCCAAGTTAAAGGTCGAGCAGGAGGAGGTCGAGACCATGCGTGGCATTAACAAGGTGCGAAAAATAAGTTTAAAATGCATGAAAGCAATTCGATGCCAATTCTTTTATATATAGATTCTGCTGGAGAACATCCTGCCAGCCCACGTGGCCACCCATTTCCTGCACCTGGAACGCTCCACGGAGCTCTACCACGAGAGCTACTCCTGCGTGGCCGTGATGTTCGCCTCCATTCCCAACTACAAGGAGTTCTACGACGAGACAGATGTCAACAAGCAGGGTCTGGAGTGCCTGCGTCTGTTGAACGAAATCATTTGTGATTTCGATAAGGTAATGTGGCTGTATTCTACTAAAAAAAGTTGATTGTCTATTTTAAATATTTATTTTACATTTTTAACTTCTATTTAAAAAATTACCACTTATAGCCCCAAACCTATTTCGGTTTATTTTCAGCTCCTCTTAAAGCCAAAGTTCAGTGGAATCGAAAAGATTAAAACTATAGCCAGCACCTATATGTGTGCTTCAGGTTTGAGGCCCGGAAAGGAAGACGGCGCTACGGTAAGTAAAACTATTTTCAAAAGCCTTCTCCATAATATCTGTGTCTATCTTGTCTCACTTATATCCCTTCAATGCTTTCACTAATCCTGTAAATAACATCCTGACTTGATTGCCATATCTAGTCACGTAGCTTTGCGGTAAGTCTTCTTCTTTAAACTTGTCACATTCTCTGCTCAAAACGATGATAAATTGGCCAATACTACCTAATTCAAATTAAATGTTTTCAATTCAACCCCAAAAAAAAAAAAAGCCGGAATTCAGTTGAAATTCCAACCTTTGGCCCTCTTTCCCCCAATAAATCCCAATCGACCGAATGTTATTTACTGTTCAAATGCCTTTTAATCGCTGCTTAGCACTTTAATTAAATTTTTACAACTACCAAACAAAGAGGAAATCAAATCACATTGGCTCAACAAAGGGCAAAGGGAGACCAATAAAAAAAAGGGTCGCCAAATGAGGGTCGAACGGTGGGCAGGGATTGGGATTAGCTGAATCCGGTGGGGTAGAGGGTTTCTAGGCAGGGGACGTAAGGACGACTATGACTAAATCGAATCGTTCGTTAGTCCTAACGCAGTTCTCCTTTTTTATTTTTACCATAAAGGACGAGAAGCGAACGGAGGAGCACAACGTGGTCATACTGGTCGAGTTTGCGATTGCTTTGATGTCCATATTGGATTCGATTAATCGCGAGTCCTTCCAACGATTTCGTCTCCGCATAGGGCTCAATCACGGTCCTGTGATTGCCGGCGTGATTGGCGCCCAGAAACCGCAGTACGATATCTGGAGTAACACAGTTAATGTGGCCTCACGCATGGACTCATGTGGCGTAATGGGACGACTTCAGGTGAGCGGTGGATCCAGCATTAATTGTATAAGGTTACCTAAAAATCACAGTTTAAAATTTTAGATAAAATATTTTTTTAGTAGTGAAGTCATTACATTCTATAAACAGCGGAAAACGTACCCAAAAATGTGTGGATAAAAGATCTCCTTAATAATATTTAGAAAATTGTTCTCCACTTTTTTAAAAGTCACTCGAAAAACGTCAAAATAAAGTAATGGTTAGATTACAATATCATCACTTGTGGATACGATAGTCAGTTCTGTCAGTTCTCAGTCATACGTATTAAAAGCTTAAAAACCTATGCTAAACAGATACAAATTATTCAAAATATTAGTATAACTTTTATATATATAATATATAAATATATATAAATATTATTTTTAAATATAGGATCAGTTATCTCAGTTATAGGTAATATAGGCTTTAAAACCTATGCGAAACAGATACAAATTATTTAAAATAATAGTATAACAATTATTATATAAATGTTCTTTTCAAATATAGGATCAGATATCGATGCATCCACAGCAAACCTATAGTTGTTCTGATATTTGATAAATAGTTCGGTTTTACAGATTCCTTAATTAATTGATACAATTTGACTTACAAATTAGGCAGTAGTCTTATCATAAAATTGCTAAGAACGAAATATATATAAAACAGAAGATCAAAAAATAGAAACCCAATTATAATACTATATTTTCTTCCCACAGACGACGGAAAACACGGCCAAGATATTGATGGCAGCCGGCTATGAGTGCGAGTGCCGCGGCCTGACCTATGTCAAGGGCAAGGGCAATCTAGTCACCTACTTTGTAAAGACACCTTTCGATGGGAAATTGTAAATCGCCCAGTTGCTGTTGATACCTACTATTTAATGGATATTTATGATCATGTACACGTAGCGTAGGCCAAAAGTCACTTCAAAGCATCTTCTTATTTATTTTGAGCTTTTCATTTTAGTTGTAATGAATTTGCAAGCATTTAAAGTACGTTGCTCATCACACGCACATGTTAAGTATTTGTTAGCAACAATTTGTTTTTAGTTAGTTAGTAGAATTTAAAGGTTATTGACTATTTCGTACAATTTGTTAGCTAATCTTATGCGTAGCCATCACTTAAACAGCGAATAATTATATACGATTCGAATTAAAATTACGATAGACAAAGAAATGCAAATTAGCCCACCCTAGCCCAAAAATTAACGAACACATAAATATAGCTGAAAAACATATCTATTTACTAACTGCTTAAATTCATTTCTGAGGCTCTCAAGATATGTTTCTGTCGCTATTCTCTCCCTATGGAGCACTATACAATTCACTACTTTTAAACTATACTATATTTTCGAACGACACTAGTTAAATTCTGTAAAAAGAATCAATTAAAACTCTATATATTTTTTTACTCAAGCGTATTTTACTGTTACCAAACTATTCACTACATCATGTTTTGATATATTTATGTATATAACTATATAAGATGAAAGCCACCAAAGCGAACTTACTTCTTAAGACAAATCTAAGCTCAACAACCGCATCTTGTGTACCTAACATATCCCAACAAATTACACAATACCTCCGAGAAAAACTGACCTGCTTCATTGTGCACTTTGCATACCCAATGGATATAAAACGAACTCCCAAGTTTAGGAAACTGTTTTTGAAAAACCTATGCTGGAATACGAATATTGAATAAAATGTTTGTAATAACACTCTGAACACGCTGCAGTAGTTCTTAAAGTAGATTCATTGAACAATATTTGATATTATTAAACGATTTAATTGATTTTTATTATATGATCAATAAAGGAAATCAATAAAATATTACGATGTATTTAATTCAAGTGTTTTTTTTTATATGGTATTACAAAGATCGAAATGTGATCTAAATTTTTGTAAGTATTTCTGGTCGCGAGTGCAATGAGCGGGTCAAGTGGAGTTCAACCTTATCTATAAATAACTCAGGCCGTACAAATTATGCTAGGAATGATATACCAAAGAGTAGACAAGTAAACCAGGGACCAGACAGATAATCAATACTCAAAATGGATTTGAAAACTCAACTACTTTGGTTTATAGGTTTAGAACGAGTTCATTTAGTTTTATGTGCTAAAAGGAAACCTTAAAGGTATATACAAATAATAGCCGAAAATCTGATGTGATACTGTTCCACTATAATTTATTCAAAGATAATTATTATTATTAATTTTTTTTATTTGTAAATAGGGGTTCTATACTTATTTGAATTGGAGCATTCTTAAGTTATGTCATGGTGATATGCTACATAAATTAATAATAATAAAAACTAAGCTAAGTGGATTTTCTCAAGAAAAAAGAATATGTCATAATGGTGTAAAATTGCAGAAAATTCGATCTAGGAAGGTTATTTAGGGTTTTAATGAGTATAGGGTTTGTTTATGTGGTTGTCTGATGAGAAAGAATTTGTGAAGGGCTCTCGGTTTACAAACAAAATTTTGTAAGCAATGCAGAACCGATAACGTGCGCGGCCGATCTGAAATGCTGCTGGGGTCAGCAGTGTTCTCCAACCACATCGCCTCATATGTCACAGCGTTTATTAGAATCGGTTGTGCCAGGGAGCTTGGTCAGCATTCTCGGATCTCGGATAGCCATGAGCACATAAACACGACGCATGCGCAGACCACGAGACCCATTGAGATCCCAACTCCAGTCTGCCTTGACATTCAGTTGCCGTCGCGGCCTTCTAAGTGGCAGAGTCTCGAAAATTTCAAGTTCCTCGCTCGGATATTGCCTTTTTTTATATGTTCAGTGTTTAGTGTATGTGCCTTATCAAACAGCTTTATAGCTACCTCTGGGCTAGAACAACAGAAGACTGTTGGAATATTTACAAAGTGCTGTTGAATTCTTCATTTTAATACCCATTGCTAAATAAATAAAGTGGTAAAATACAATTGTTTTAAATTTACACACAAATACAATTTATATTGTTCTAAAATGTTAGTATGATTCTGAAGGATATTATTATACGTTTACATTTTGGACTATGTACATAAATTCTTTTACAAAAAACCAACTACTTATGATCTTATGATTATATATAAATTAGGCGAATCAGCACAACAATTTACGAGTAAACTTATTTCGCGAGGTGGATGCGTTAGTTCTCGATCTTCTTGCTCAAAAGGAAGAACTATCTGACCTTAACCGTGAGCCTAAATAAGCACACAAAAATACATTATTTTTATGTTGGAGTACCATAAGTATATTCGTATAACAAAATCGTACTAACTAAATTGGTCCTAGAACTACGCTTAATTTGTGAGATTTATCCAGACACAAGTTCTCGAATTTTTAGCTGAAATACTGCACCAATGTTCGACATACAAAACAGTACATAAACTAAGATAAAGGTGGGTTTTAAAAATACAAAAATATACAAAAGGTACTTTTAGTTTAGCAGGATGATGAGAAAATTGTCCAAAAGCTTGGGAGATTCGTTTAAGACAGGTATTGTTCGAGTTTCCAGCTCGTGTACGAGTCACTAGATGTCAAAATACTTAAAACAACATTAAGTCAATCTATAAAATTAAAAGCGAGAAAAATCAGGGAAAAACAAAAGGTATAACAAATCACAGAGCAAACTGCAAATGAAATCAGGAATCCGGTGAGGCCGTCCTCGCGTCTCTAGAAGTGCGGCAGGCAGACCTTGCCGGCAAATAGCTCGGACACCACGGTGATCCAGAGGGCCAGGACGAACATGATGTAGGATATGCCGATCTTGAAGGTGTTGGGCAGCTGGTAGGCCTGGCCGCCGATCTCCTCGACATGGAATCCCAGCGGGAAGACGACGGCCGCCATGCAGAAGAGCACCATGGCCGTGAATCCCACCCAGCGGGCATAGGGGATCACATTCCGGTTGCAGGAGGACGAGGCCAGCAGGATCACGGTGGTGGTCACGCAGATGCAGCCCACGAAGATGCAGATGAGGGCGATTAGCCATTCCGGCTGCAAGTCGGGAGTGTAGCACACCTGGGGTCGATTATACAGCGTCATGCAGGTCCACATCAGGCCCAGTCGAATATCACCTGGAATATTCAAGATTTTGTGATACATTGTAAGAAAGTGGTGCTTCCGTGTTTTCGCACTGACCCGTCCCTGATTCCGTGATGATCCAATCCGGCAGCGCCAGGCTGACAATCGCAAACACATCGGCCGCCATAAAAAGCGTGGCACTAATTGTCGTTAGTTTATCCATTGTAGTTAACAGGAAATGGAAATTCAAAATGCAATTTCTTGAAAGTCAATTGTTTTTATACTCGTTAGCGATGGACCAGCGATTGATAACCGTGACTTTTTCACAGCGATTGATAAACAAAGCAGAGGTCGATTTGTTATCGCGGTGAAAGGAGTCACTGTTATCAATTGTCGGTTTTTAGTACGCTGCTTGTCCACCAGGTGGCTATTGGCGCGAAATTCAAACAATATGGGGTACATATATCTAACAGTAATAGCTTTACATTTATAAGTAATTTAAGGTCCGGTTTTTTATGCTATCGGGGTGTGTAGTTGGAAATAACAAAGAAAAATATATAAACGATTAAGTTGCAAATTCAGTACTTCCCACCCTATATAATCAGGCGTAGAAGCCATGCGTGTCTGTCCATTTAAAGGTCGAAATCTAGGGAACTGTAAGAGCCACGCCCACTCTAATGCTTACAAATCAAGATTGTAAATTATTTAGGAATAAGCATAACAAGGAAATATCAACAGGATCGGTTATATCATGTATTTTGTATTTAATAACCGGTAATTTTACGGGTATTTACTAGATGAAGCTCTCGATTTTATTTTTTTGTTAAAACCCACCTTAACTTTAAGGAGGCTTAGAAAATTGAAAGTTGTAGAATTCAATAAACTTTTGAAATTCCAAAAGAAAAATAGACTGTTTTATTGAAAGCAAAATTAGTAAACTGGCCAAGAACAATAATGCCCGAAGTTAATTGCAGTCATAAGGGTAATTAAAACCCCAGACAAAATTGCACACAACTCCCTTGGCCAGCAATACACCCGAGTGAAATGCACTGGCATTTGGGGCTGACCGGTGTATAAAAATAAAATTACAATTCCAATTATAAGTGAGGGAATTGAATGTGGCCACGTCACATGCCCGCCGCTGACGTGTCCTTGCCAACTTAGTTCGTCCAGGTTGACCCAGGTTATGCGGCCGGTCAGCGTTATAAACGGGGTGGGTTCTGTTCAGGTTCTGTGCTTATATCTGCCCAGTGATATCTAATGGGGAAGCCAGCGGACAGCGCTCTTTCAGACCCTTCAATGCCCCATAATTGCCGGCCAGGAGCTGGTGGGGCTGTATTTTTTATCGCCGGCGGGCCATGTAACTCTCTTATTATTAGCAAATTTCATTTGCATTCATTCACTTTTCGGATGTGCAACTCAACACTTGCGCGGCTCGGTTCTCCACCGACATTCAATTCCGTCGCGACATCGAGGAGCCCAAATACGAAATCGAAACCACCGCGAAATCCTGTCGGAAAGGGGCTATTTACTAATGGAGATTTGTTTGTTGATTAGTTCGATTCCTGTTTACAAATGTATCTAAATTATGCTGGGCTGTGATTTCAGAACTGGATTCATTTTCCAATGGTGGGACATGCACAGTGGGGCGGTAAGCATGCACAGAAAGAAATTGGATCCCTTCTGGCATCCCATCAATACATTATATAAATTTTTTTTAAACTATGTAGGGTATATTCAAATTTAATTAGGTGTACTGTGCAAAGAATAATAATAAAGCATATTTTCGAATTTTATGTTAAAAAAGTTGAGAAAGTTCATACTATTCTTTTTATTTTAATAAACAGTAAAAAAAGTATCACTGCAATAGAATTGGCTTACAAATATAGAACTTTTGGTTGAATAGTTTCATTAGACAGGGCTTTTTCTTTCACGCTATTGTTTATTTATATTCTGAGTAAAATCGTATTTCCTCTCAATTTGTTATTTACAGTATTACCTTTCTGTCAAAAGTTTATTAAAGCCAACTCCACGGAATCTGATAGGCTAAACCGGACATTCGATACCACAGCCAAACAATAACTAGGCTTTTGTATACAACTTTCATTTATAATAAGGAAACGGAAAGCTGCCTACTGGCAGTTCTTGGCACGACATGGTCGTGTCCGAATCAGAACCCGAGTTTCTGTCTGAATCTGAACCTGAACCTATGAGTGAGCACCAGGCAGCTATCGACGGGTACGGTAGCAAAGTAAAATATAAAATTTTAGCCTTGTGTTTTTACTAATGCGTTTTCCTATATGCAGAAATCTTGAAAACTTGCTTAGTACTTCTACTCATGAAGAAGGGGTTGATTTGAATGCTGAGAGTGACGTGTATCAAAAAGATACCAACCAAAAAGCCGATAATCAAGACGACATCGCTGAACCCAAGGATCTGGATGAAAGTCAACCAGATATTAAAAGTCCAACAAAGGAAGACACCACAAGACCTCTTGTTCTAGAGGAAAGGCACTCGTTGTCCATGTAAGCTTAACCTAAAATATGGTTTTAAGTTAAAGTTAATATTAATATTATTATTTCAAAGAGCGGAGACAAAAAAGCGAAGAGCCAGTGTGTATTCCAACGAGTTGCTTTTTATACCCAAGGAACTGGCTCGCAGCGAACTTCAGCAGCGCACAAGGACCCTCAGCAGATACGCCAAGAATCGGGAATACCACCTGCGAATGTTGAAATTTCCCGTGGGATCCGGTCGTCCTCGTTACGTGGCCAAGCAAATGAAGAAAGATCGGGATGATAACCATCCTATATCCCAAGAAACCGATAATGAATTCGAAACGAACGAATACCCTGTAGACATAAAAGAGGAAGAGTTCGCAGAGGAGCCTTCCGAGGAAATTCAGGATTTAGGGGAGCAACCCCTGAATATGCCCGATTTGAGTGCTGAATGTGAAGTGAAGACTCAACTGCCGGACGATGAAGAAATCAGCGTTATGTTGTTCGATTTGGTGAAGCAGGAGGTCGAGACTAACGATTCTTCGGAGGAGGAGAACCGAAAAATCCTGCAGAGCCAGCGGGAAAGTGTGATAAGGACCAGCAGCACTAGACGTCAGCATTACCCCTACTTATGCTGGCACAATCCTCAAAAAGAAGACCTCCACTTTAAGATGGAGCCCATGACGCAATGGGAGACCAAAAGTGAGCCGGAAATTCAAGATGGTTATGATGATACGAACAATTTAGAAAACGCAGAAGATGCGGTGGAAGACTTAGCCGTTCCTGATCAGGTTGAAGAGCCATCGGAAGTGGAAAACCAGCAACCAGAGACAATCAGTTACTTGTATGAGCCCGCCCAGAACCAGTTAACCACTGAAATTCAGGTCGAACAGCAAGTTGCTGAGGAAGTGCCTGCCAATAACTTCAACCCTGCAACATCCGGATCCCCTGAAGACTCGGATCAAACAGCCAATTCCCTACTACGTCAGCAGTTAATCCATCACATTGTCCAACCAAATTTGTGCAACGAGGAGGTATATCAATCCATCAGTTGCAACAACAATGCCGTCGATCGAGTAAATCAAAATCTCAGACAACATCAGTTTGTAGGTCCTTCGGTTGCCAGTGAACCAAGTCCTCAGTGGAACCCACCAAATCAATCATTTCACAAGCAGCAATTCCATATTCAGCAGCAATATATGCAGCAACAACTCCATCAGTCGTCCAGCCAACAGCAACAAGAGGTTATTTACCAGCAACATCAGCACGAGACGCAGGATAAGCTGCAGCAAATGCGGGTCATGTACCAGAGGATCAAGTGCCGGGAGGAGGAGCAACTGCATCAGCTGGGCAAGTCCCTGAAGAAGCTACTGGACGATCGAATGTCCTGCGAACGCCATCACGCGGAGGAGAAACGATTGTTCATGCTAAAAATGGAGCAATTCAAGAAGATGGAGGAAAAACTAAAGTCAGACAGGGATCAAATAAAGCGACAACTGAGATCCGATTTAAGAACTCTGGAGCTGAGAATAGCCGACCAGCAGCGCCAGCAGGAGGAGAAGGCTTTGGCCTGGTCCTGGCAGCAGCAGCAGCAACAGCAGCGACAGCAATTTCTAGTGCAACAGCAATCCCAACAGCAACAGCAACTGCAGCAGCAGCATTTTATGCATCATCCACACAGCCAGGAAACTTATCCTGCAAATCAAGAGCCATATATGCAGCATTCCTTCCTCTACGATCCGCCACCTTATTTGTACCCAACTGCCTATCAGGAATCCATTGTGTATCAACAGCGCATACAGGCCTATCATGATCATCAGCAGAATTACAATGCCGCAGAATCGCAGACCACAGCAATTGAGTTGCAGAGAAGACTGCTCCTGCCACCGCCTCCATATTGCCAATCCAGCAACAGGACCTCCACTGAAGTTAGTCCTACTTCGCGGAAAGTGAGACATCGTCCAACCGCCGACCAAAGGTCAGATCCCTATCCCAGGGCCCAACTAAGAGGTCCTTTGCCACCCGCCGCAGAGATTATGCAACTCCAGAGAAACCCAAGGATGAGTCCACCCGCAGCCCAAGTCCACGAACCCAGAAACGAACCCTACGGATTAACCTCTGTCATGACGAACTATGTCGCAAACTGCATGAATATGCGTGCTGAAAGATAATTGCATGGGCGACATTAACTGATAGTTACTTGTGATTTAAGTAGGAACTCTTCAAGGGTGTATAAACATAATTAAAAGAAAACTGAATGTGTTAAAATGGCTCATTTCTGTCCTTATATTTTTCCTTATTACTGTAAATAAATTAAAACCAAATTAAAAGTTAATATTGATTTTTAAAGGTGCTATTACATACACTCACAAAAGTATTCGTCCAGAATTTAAAAAATTAAATTTAATGTCGAAATCAAAGAATTATCTGAAAATAGATCTATAAATTTACCTAATAAAAACATTGTTCCTTACACCGAATTCTTCAAATTCGGGCAATATTTTTTTAGCATAGGCTTCTTTTGTAGAATTCGGAATAATTATTATAATCTATTAACTTTGAGATGTTTTAAAGGAAAGCTTTTGGATACCCTATTTAAACTAAAGCTTTATGTTCAAAAATAGGTACCTATTTCCCAATTTCTAAAACATACATATATCTGTGAATAGCCTTTATATCGAGAGAGGTCTTCAACAAGGTTATTTTACAGATTCGATTTAATGACTTCTATTTCTATCGAGTGTCTCTCGGAATAGTTCGCCCCAAGCCAGGATGCCAGAAGCAGTTGGAGCAATTGCAGCGCGGACAGTGCCAACAGTTGCCGCACTTCATGCACACATTGCCAGCTCCATGTTGGGCGGCCGAGGGATAGGGGGCGTGGCTTGGGGTGGCACCACCACTGGCCCACAAATCCTTGTTCCGGAGACAGGATCGACTGCGCTTGGGACTGGCTGAACGGGTACGGGGCAATCCGGCGGAGGAGGAGCAAGATGCTGCCGGTGGTGGTGATGGTGGTGGTGGTGGGTCACAGGGTGTTGCCACCGCAGGATCAGGGGCCTGTCTCTTGGCAGGACTCGGTGCTGGCTGATCCAAAAACTTAACCGTGGGAGCATAGAGCTGGAAGGCCAGGGGCGACGGAATCTGGAGCTCGCAGCAGAACCTCTCCCGATCCCTTCGCAGTTCGGCAAGAAGGCGGGTGAAGGGCAGGTCACATCGCACCAATTGCTGCGCCGGCAGCTGCGAATCCTGTGCAGGACTCGTCATCAGCTGCTGCTGCGGCAAAGGCTGCGACTGGGCCGCCACGGGCACCAGTTTCCAGGATTGGGGCACTGGAATCAGGCTGCAAAAGTAAACAGGCGTGTGTTCCGGCTGATAGAAGCCACCTTCTGAACTGGGTCCAGTCAGGCAAAAGATCGGCGGCACTACAGTGGCTCCGGGTCTTGGATGAGCAACCGTCATCACCGGTGGCTCTGGTCGATGTGTCGCTGGTGGTTTTGGCAAAGGACTCACTGGAGCCTTTGGAGCCGACAGGGAATCGTATCCGGAGCAGGCTCCTCCAATGGTACAGCACTGGCACTGAAAGCTGCAAGCAGGCGACTGGACAGGATTGGGATTATGACTGGGAGTGGGAATGGATCTAGTCGCCCCTGGTTGTGGCGGACAGAAACCATCCAAGTAGCCCCCATTGAACTGTGAACAGCTGGAGCAGAACATCTGATTCTTGTACTCGTCCAAATTGAAGGAGTTGGGCAGGGGAACATTGCAGTCAATGCTGGAAAGAATATATTATTAAGTATTATACGTATTATAATGTACGTGTTTGTTTAAGAAATCTGAAAACAATACCATGAATTTCAAAAAATTTAATGCATAATGACCACATCAATATTTTAAACATATTTTAAAATCTGTTAAGGCTATGGAATTTTTTAAAATAAAAATAAGATTAATATCCAGTATTTTATGTATAACTCTTTGTTCTTTGAATTCCTCTTAGTTACCTATATTTTAGATACATAAATATATACAATTTTTGAAGAAATTAAAGGGTTCTTCCGAAAAATATAGAAATAGAAAATATAATAGAAATAGTGAAAGTATTAAGATAAATACAATTTTACGTTTGATACACAATTAAATTTAATATTTGGAGTACGATCCTAATAATTAATATTAGTATACCTTAGACCCTCTGGATATTCGGTGACCAGGCACATTCCCACCCGCGGTGGCTCCACCTCGCACTTGCTGCAACCCACTTCGTTGTTGGACTGCATTGACAGTGGAGCATAGCACATGTTGAACTGCTGCTGTGGATTCGTCTGCGGCTGCAAGCCATTGCCATTGCCATTTCCACTGGAGATCAGCTTTCCCGAGGAGGTGGCATTGCATCCATGCTCACAGCTCTCCGTGCAGAACATCTTCAACCCTCCGATTTGGCCTAAGTGTTAGCAGCGGCTAAGCCCGGGGTATTACAATTTTGTACATGTTAAGTCACAAAAAGTGTAGAAATTTTTGACATATTGAGTTGAGAAATACAGATTGCTGGGTATTTCATCTGTTAGTTTTCAGTGATCTATTAGTCGAAATATTCTGTGATCTATGTAGCTATCTTCAAACTCCTGGCAAAATATTTTTGGGTGCTGTTGCGCTGAAAATAAATATTTAGGGTAATGAATTCTCCCAACTAAACTTGCAAGCACCCTCTATTTACAAAACTAAGTTAACTTCAACATTTCTGTTAAATGTGCTTTCAAAATTGACAATCCAATTCAATCACCCCAAACACATACGGAAATGCTGTAGAAAAACGAACACCTTAACAAATTCCCCGGTTAGAACACCAAAATTCGCGGTTAGACCCAGATAGTGTCAACAATGGAGTCCCAAGGCAAAAGTGAATCTTTGGACCAAAATACCAAAACAACCGAAGAAAACGTAGCTAAATGTTGTTTTGTGGTAACCGTGGGAAGTGACGGACTAATCGAAATTAGTTCCCACAATCCAGACTCGCAAGCACCACAAGATGAAATAAACAGTGGTAATCCGACATCAACAAACCAGGTTTCGGATATGGTGTCAAAGAAACAGCGCTTTAGCATAGCCGTTCTGAAAGAGGACTCCAATGATAGCGATGAAGGCCCTGCTAAAAGTCCCGAGAAGATCAACACTAATCTGCAATCGCTAGACGGAGAAAAGAAAACCGAAGTTGTGCCGCCTTTTGTGAAGATCTGCAACAAGGACCTGGCGAACAGGCCTTCTTTCGTGGTTCTCGAAGATGCTTTGGAACGCAATCGGATTAAACAAGATCTGGAGCAGCCGAATATAGAGCAATGTCAGAAAAGCTCCCATGCTGAATCGCAAACAGGTGAAACTTGTTCCAAGAAGAGTACTACATCCACCAATAATGTCAGCCAGAGAGGTATGTTATAGACAGTCCATGTCTCTACTACTATTATTTTAGTTATTGGAGTTTGTCGAACGCCTAATGAAAACTAGTCCCTAGCAATCTGTATTACTTATTATATATACATTTTTAATTCCATTTTTTTTGTAGATAATGCCATAGCACCTCTTCGGAAATTATCCACTCAAACGGCAGTTCAGGTCCGTCAAAAACTATCTACTTTGAATAATAAACAGCCGGAATTGGTTTCCGAATCAATGAAGAGGGCTGGCAACAGTTTGATTGTTCAAAAACAGCAGCAACATCAGCCACTGCAACAGCAGACGCAGCAACAACAGCAGCAACATCAGCAACTGCAGCAGCAGCAACTTCAGCAACAGTTTGGCAACAACTCTCCGTATGTGACCTTAAGTTTCTTACCCATGACCCAGCCTGGAGCAACTTCTAGCAGTCCTGTGATGTATCCTTGCCAGCAATTCCTGAGTGCTACACCGAGCAGCATGTCAAGTTGCTCCTGCTGCAGCTGCAGCAATTGCTGCCCGCCGAGGGCAACTCATGTCTGCCAACTGCCGATGGGCAATGGTTGCTGTCAGATCCAAAATCCGGTATACGGCAGCAACTGCTGCATGTTGAAACCGGAGAACTTTCCAAACAGCGGATCCTGCTGTCCTATATCGAACATGGAAGCGCATCCATCTATGGGATTTAACGGCCAATTCAGTCAGCACATGATGCATCCCATCCTGACAACTTCACCTTCAGCTCTACAGCAACAGCAAACCAATATTCCGGTTGCCGGGGGGTTTTATCCTGGCTGCTCCTGCCACTCAATATGTCCTTGCAACCAGTGCTCCCACCACAGGATGCAAACCTATCATCATCCTTGCTGCCATTGCCCAGGGTTCTTTAACAGTCAACAGATGCATCAAATGCAGCAGCAACAGTTGCAGCAGCAGCAGCAATCTCAATCTATCTGCTGTCCCATAAAAGTGAACCAGCAACAACATTCTCCATCCAAAGGAGTTAGAGTATTGAAAGCCACTGGAAAACCCACCAACCGTGATGGACTAAAGCATATATTTAGCAATAAGCCAGCTGAGATCCCGAAACCGCCAGCCCAGGAGCAGGCCAAGGACCAAGAAGATCATCAAAGCCACAAGAAGACGAGCAGGGAAGCTCCTCGATCGATTGGAGGTGTATCGTCAATTAAGGGCAATTCCAACACCACCCCCTTGTATTTAGCTCGATACGGAAAAACTTGCCTGATTCTGAGACCCATCAGTACGGCTATAATGCCACGTCTCCTGACCAAGCGAATCAGTCGCTATACCTCGGTAATAGCCTGGCCCACAAATAATATCAAATCAAATGTACACACAAACTAAACGTTCTATCTGGGATAAATTATACAATAAAGAAGCATTTCAAGGGGATCGACTTTACTTTTCTCTTTCACATTTAATATTTTAGAGACGTAACCCTTCACTATTGAACACAATATGGATTTTTAAGTTTATAAATCGGTTTTTGTTTCACTGCTTAAAATATATTTGGCTAATGTAAGGTCGTGGCTTGTGTCAATTTCTAAACCGTCTTTGACATCGATTTCCACAATTGAGCACCTAAACGAACGTCAAAATGTTAGTAAAAATAGGATATAAGTTGTATATTATAAGTTACTACCTGTTATTTTGTAACAAGCCACTCTTTACCAGCCTCCTTCGTGAGAAATAAAACATTCCTGTTTCTACTATATCCCCCTCCCAGTCCTGACGTCTTGGTCTGGCATTTAAATCGAACTCAGCTGGAATCAATTCATCATCAACCACTTTCCATCTTAAGTAATGTGATCTGAAAAAGGAAATCAATGTTTTTTGAATGTTTTCGGAAGCTATATTCGGTATGTGGAATTTCATACCTCTTAGCTGCAAATACACAGTCATGCGTCTCAAATTTTTTAACAGCTTCTTGAATATAATTAGTTTTT